CTCAGCGCCCCCCGCCCCGCGCACGCGCAGAGGCGCCGCCGCCCCGCGCGCGCCTTCCCCCCGCCATCGCCGCCCGTGCGCTCCCGGCGCGCCCCGCGCGCGCTCGGCGCTGACGTCACCGCAGCCCGGCGCCCGCCGCCATTGGACTCGGCGGCCGCCGCTGCCCCCGCTCGGAGCGGCCCCAGGCCCGGGCCGCGGGCATGTGAGGCACGGGCCGGCACCGCCCGAGCACCGCCGAGCCGCGGCACCGCCCGAGCACTGCCGCCGCCCCCGGGGAGCCGCCCCGAGCAGGCGCCAGGCGGCCCCTTTCCCTCCCTCTCCCTCGGCCCCGGCCCCTTCCCCGCCCGGCCGCCGCCTGAGGGGAGAGGAGGCGCCGCCGCCGCCCCTCGGCCCCGCCAGGCCCCGCAGCCCCGCGGCCCTGCCCGGCGCTCTCTCTGCTGAACCACGGCGGCCCCGTGCATGAATTATGTCTGCCACAAGCGTTGACCCTCAGGTGAGTGAGCGGCGGGCCCGGGGGGTTCCCGGGCCTGCGGCGGCCGGGAGGCCCCGGGTGGCTTTTCTTCTCCCGGCGGGCGGCCTTGGAGCTCGGTGGCTCTCAGCTTCCCCCGAGGGCTCGGCGCGGTCCCGCCGCCTGCCCAGAGCCGGGGCCATTTCTCAGGAGGGCCGGTGCTGGGCGGTACGTGGAACACGCTGCTCCAGCAAACCCCGAGATGCTCTTGGCAGTTTTTATGAGCCTCTTCTCCGTCCTCGTGCGCTGTGCGTGTGTTTTGCGGTGACTGTGTGACAATGTTTCTAAAATTAACTTTTTTTTTTTTTATTATTTCCCTTCCCTCTTCCCCTCCTTTAATCATGTGCCGTGGCTTCCCAGAGACCGAAGGGACAGGATAATAAAGGTGAGGATCGTGCCGAGATCTGGTCGCTTAAATTGTTACTGTAATAGATCGATTACACAGGTAGCTGTAGGGGAGCAGAAATGTATCACTCTTAATCTGTATGGAAAACATTTGGGAACGAGGGAATATGTGCTTTCTTTCCAAAATAAGGTAAACTGCCATTCATCCAGCTTGCTTGCATCCCACTTAACGTTGCTGAGCTTGCAGGGGGAAGAACTGTGTGTTGATACTAAATAATGCTCTTCATTTCCTGAAGGTAAAGCAGATTCCTTCATAAAGCCACGAGGATGTCTCTGTACAATATATATATATTTACATACTTTTTCACACTCTCTTCTTGCTCTGTGAATGCAGTTCTGTTGCTGCTCTGCTGTTGGCTGAGGTATTGACATAAGCCTACAAACTTAACCATTTAAGGGATTTTAAATAAAAGGTAGTTAACCTCGAGTGGGATAATAGGCTTTCTCATAACTCCTGTGCTTTATTTGAAGTTAAATTTAATAACCAGTCATCTGAGGAAATACCTTAATCGTTCCTCTGATTGCTAATAAGTGTATTACTTCTCAGGCTTAGAAACTAGCGATGTTCAACTCATAAACGCTTTTTAATAGATCTTAACCTGCCTTAAAAGTTCGTCTGCTTCCAGTTGCAGAAAGTTTGACACCATTTCCTGTGTTTGTAAACACTCTTTTACCTCTACTCTTCATTAAAAACTTTGCAGAAATATCCTGATAAATTCCTAAACTTTTTTTGCTAAAAGTTCTATTTGATGTAGTGTTGTTTTCTTAAATTTAAGGAAACATATGAAGTAATTTGGAGGGACCTAATAGCAGTTTTGGGTTTGTATATCTTTCAGTAATGGGTTTTGGATGCTTTTCTTCAGACAGTCATTTATGCTGAAGTAGGACTTTGATTATGGCAAATATCTCTGTTTTACAGATGAGAACGCTGAAACTTAAGTTTTCCTGAAAATATCAGGATATCAAAGCACTTAGCAGTCATCATTTCATACTTAAATGTAACCTCACATCATCTTATTTTAACCAGCTTAAGCAGTGAATAACATGCTGGGAGAACTGTGAGTTTGAGTGTTCTGATTATGGACCAGAACAATAGATGTTGTTTCCCAATATTTTTCACAAAATTCTTCTTAATAATTACTTTTTGTTTGGAGTTAATTCACATGAGTTTTCTACTTGCTCTCAACTATAGAGTTTTGTGGGTTTTTTTTAATTTACTTAAACTTAGTTTTATAAGCAGTACTGTAAAGAGTTCGGGGAGGAAAAAAAAAATCATCCCCTGGTTTTATGAGTCCTCATGCTTTGAAGAAGAAATATGGCCTTTCATAAAGCAACACAGGGTGGAAGTCATTCCTGAAATGCTGCTCATGGTGTTATAATCTGTTGTAACCCTTTTCTTGTAGTACAAAATGGTTCGTTACATCAGAAGGACACAGTTCATGACAGCGATTTTGAACCTTACCTTTCCGGGCAGTCAAATCAGGTTAGTGTATTTTTAACTTAGTTTGTTTTTTTTTTTTAAACTTAGGCATGCTGTTGGCACTCAATTCATAGGATTGTGTGGAGGGAGCAAATTCCTTAAATAGAAATGGAAAAAGAAATGACAGCATATTGTGTTACTTGGTGATACAACCAGCATTTGTGCTCCCAAAGCTAATATTACTCTGCAGGTCCAGATGGCCACAAGTGAAAACGAAGTTAATGCTCCAAGTAGTTGGAGCTGATTGCTCCTCACATTGCAGGTTATTGATAAGGCTGGACTGGGACAGACTTTGATAGATGAGTTGCATGTGGAAGTCTGAAAGTTCTGCTTGTGGGCTCTCCTGATTTCTATTATTTATATAATTCTGGAAATTAATGTAGCTGAAGTTTGGTTTTGATGCTCTCTAGCTAGTCTGTAGAGTTGTCCCACTTTTTACACTTCAGCAAATATTCTTCTATATTCTCTGAAATATCTTAAGAATTAAAGATGTGTTACTTCCGAGTAAGGTAGTATAGTGCAAACTGTCATTATAATGTACATTAAATTAACATTCATTAATGAAATACAGTTATAATTGAAAATATCTTCTGATTGAGGTAGTTTTTGACTTAACTTTCAAATCGTCAAAGTTAACAAACTGTAAAGAAACTGGAGAAGCAAAAAGTTTTCATTAAGTATGAAATAGCCTTTCAGAGAGAGATACTTTTCAGAACTACATGATTATTTCTTGATGGAAAGGCTGTTACATTTTAAAAAGGAAATTCATAATTCATCCTGGAACTGATAGATGCCAGTGTTAATAAGGATGACATCACTGAGCTTGCTTGCAGCATAGACATGTTCACCAGGCTTAGACAAAGTTAATTTAATGGGAAGCGTTCCCTCCTCTGGAATTAACATCCTGTTGAAGGTATAAAAGCAGAAAATTTTTTTTGGGGGAAAAAAGGAAATAAAATTTTATTTTTTTAATGCAACCCTAATTTTAAAATAAATTTGAGTTTTCACTTTCCTCTGTTTCTTTGAAATTCCTCTTCATCACACTTGTGTGTAATTTAAACCAAGCTATGTTTTCTAATGCGAAATACACTGAACATTTCACATAGAAAAAAAGAAGTAGAGCCATCTATTACAGTTTAATTCTAGAAAACTTGTCTTTGCTGTCAACAGCCCAGTTATTAGGTTTAAATAGAAAAATTGCTACGGCTGTTAGAATTTCCATAATTACAATAAAAGTTTTCTTTACCAAAGTGCAGCTCCACTGAGCGATTTATTTCTGCTGCAGTGAGAAGTTGGCGTGCTACAAGAAACAATTGTGTAGGTCCTCTTACAATTTTAAGTGGAAAGTGACAGTGGCATTAATTAGGACTGTGAGATTTTGTACAGAAGACAACCATGTTGCTGAACAAAGCTTTATTATCTAGTTACCCAGTCAGATTTATTCAGCCCTTAACAATTACTGGAAGACGCTAACAACTTAGAAAAAAGAGATTTGAAAACAGTTGGATATTTTTAAAAAGACGTAAGAAGTTAAAGCCCCAACTGACACAACAGTCTTTTTGACATCAGCCATCAACTCTAACTTGGTAATATTGTATTAATTTCATCTTTTCAAAACACAAATTAATCTTTAAAACAAGTGTGAGCATGCTGTGAAGGCAAATAAAATATAATTGTCTGTGATCTTTCTGTTGAAAATTGCATCTGAATAGTGCCTTCTTTTCTTACTATAAAAGTTCTAGGCTCCAAGTAGCAGTAGTTAATGCAGGGATGTGATAGCTTTTTGTTATAAAGCACACTAAAAGCACTTTCAAGAGCAGAGGGAACTGAGTCAAGTAGACTATTGATACACAAATTTACACCCGGCAAGAAAAGCATCTTCTACCCAAAGTCATTCAGGATCAAGAGATTAGTCATATGGAACCGGGAATCACTAGCAAGTAGCATCCTTTGGGGGAAAGGAGATTCCCTTCCTAATTAACAGAATGCTTGGGTTGCTTGGTTGGTTTTGTTTGGTGGTGGCTTTGATAAAAAAAATAAGGAAGGGTGCAGAAAGGTCAAGGATAAGTTTGTTGAAATAAATGTTCTGCTGTTGCAGGGAAGGACTTTTGTCAGGGTTTCTTTTACAAGCTCTGGCATAAAGCCAATCCAAATAGATGGAATGTTTGGTAAGGATGCCTGCTGAAACTTTCCTTTAATCTTGCTAGAATCCTTGTGGAGACTTTACAGGCTGTGTGACAGGAGATGACAGTCACAGGAATTGTCTAGAATCCTTTAGCATAAATATTTTTAGGACAAAACACCTGCTTTTCTCTAGGCTTATTCTTTTTGGTCCTGAGTTCTAAATCTGTAGAATATATGAACATAAGTATCTCAGAGAACTACAGATGTCTCCTCCCTTTCACCTACATTTGTTTTTCATTTTTTCTTATACTGACACTTTCAAATGTAACACACATCAATGTCAAAGTCTTTCAGAAAAATGTTTTGATATGGTAAATATTGATTCTTTTAGCTTGTGAGTCTCGGAAAATTCAGTGTATTTGAGCATCATCTCACAGGCAGATGATTTCTGTATCTCTTGTTAGTGATAGGATTTGCACCTAAATAAAGGCAGCATGAGCAGTGATAGAGATCATTTTTTACAATCAATAACATTGAATTTAGGCTGTTTAAATCTCAGAAGTGTTTTCAGTACCATAGGAAAGTCTTGGAGGCATATTATGGTATCCATCTGTGTACAGAATGTAGGGATATTGAATTACTCTGGCTTTGGGGTGTCATGAAAAGGAGTCATTGAAAAATGAGCAGTAAAAATGATTCTGTATCAGTTGGGTATTAGACTTTAACTCAGCAAGGAGTTCTTTACTTCATTTTTTAAAAAAACTGAGAAATAATCAGATGTTTGGAAAAATGACTGAAGTTCCGGTCCAGCTTTGCTAATTTTGCAGATACATTTTTTTTTTTTTTTTTAAAGTTTGAAATCTCTCAGTTTGAAAGAAGAGTTTCCCTTCTTAAAATAGCCTTTATGAGTAAGGAAAGGCGAGCTACTGTTTGACTCATTAACAGGAGATGTTGACCTTCCCTCCCCCTCACTGGTAATTACAGTTAGAGTGTCAGTTTGGAAGGTCTCCAGTGCATATGCTGCAAAGTTTATTTGAAGAGGAATAAAACCTACTTTAGAATATTCTGGCTTTATTCTTTTGAATACGAGAATCATAGTGGATGCTTCAAAATCAGGTGCCAGCAGAAGAGTTAGTGGAAGGAAGGGTTTCTCGGCTTGGTTTAGAAACAGTTGAAAGGGAGGAAGTTTCAGAGGGGTCTGTTGGTTTTAATCATTCCATCTCTTATTTCATGGAGTGGGAGAGATGGCCTGTTTGGAAGGACAGTCAGAAACACTCCTGCACAGTTGTAACTTGACTCCTGAGGGATGAAGAGATTTATAAAAAAGACTGGAGAGGGTCTTCCTCCCGACAGTTTGGATGGCACATGTCATGTGCCGTCTTTGGATGTGTTTGCCTCTGGTGCACCAGTCACCTTAATCTCAGTTGGTAGTTCTTAAGTCTGCCTGTAGCAAATTTGGCGTGTGTGTGGTCTCACTGTGCTCCTGTGTGTCACAAAAACAAATAGGTTTACCCCTTGAGGTATGTTTTTTGCTTGTTGGAGACTGCTGGTCCCTCAAAACATCTCCATAATGAGGATTGTAATATGTTATATGTGTTGTCATATTAAGCTAGTGTAGCAGTGTAGAAATGCTAAATATCCTTAGTTCTGTGAGCTAAAAAATATAGCTGGATAAGTTGCCTGGAATCCTTTGGGATATTAACTACTAAAGAACCTTGAGTTTTGTAACTAAGATTACATGGTTTCAGAATCTGTGAGCCGCTAGTTCTGGGGTGTATTATAAATGCCCAGATATTCCATTTTAGCCCTAAATCTTTCTTGGAGTGTGAACTAAGATCTGCAATCAGGAATTACATTACCTTGCCTCTTATTTTTCTTTTCTGTTTGGTGATGAACAGTGTTATGGCTGCTTATAAATGAAGGGTTTATTTATCTGGTGACATTCTTTTTTCTTTAACAGAACAGTAGCTATCCATCAATGACTGATCCTTATCTGTCCAGTTATTATCCACCATCTATTGGGTTCCCCTATTCTCTCAGTGAAGCACCATGGTCTACAGGAGGAGATCCTCCTATCCCCTATCTCACCACCTATGGACAGCTCAGTAACGGAGATCATCATTTTATGCACGATGCTGTTTTTGGACAGCCTGGGGGTCTGGGAAATAATATCTATCAACACCGGTTTAACTTTTTCCCTGAAAATCCTGCCTTCTCAGCTTGGGGAACGAGCGGGTCCCAAGGACAGCAGACCCAAAGTTCAGCATATGGGAGCAGTTACAGCTACCCACCCAGCTCACTGGGTGGTACCATTGTGGATGGACAAACAGGATTTCATAATGATACCTTAAATAAAGCTCCTGGAATGAACAGTATTGAACAGGGAATGGTTGGACTTAAGATTGGTGGAGATGTTACAACTTCTGCGGTGAAAACAGTAGGTTCTGTTGTTAACAGTGCCGGGATGACAGGTGCCCTCTCTGGTAATGGATCTAATGTAAACTTGCCAGTATCTAAACCAACCTCTTGGGCTGCTATTGCCAGCAAGCCTGCGAAACCACAGCCTAAAATGAAAACAAAAACTGGACCTGTAATCGGAGGAGCGTTGCCTCCCCCCCCTATAAAGCATAACATGGACATAGGTACTTGGGACAATAAGGGTCCTGTGGCAAAAGTTCCTGCCCCCCAACAGATACCTTCTCCTCAGTCTGTTCCGCAGCCACAGCAACCGATTGTTCAGCCTGTTCCAACTCAGCCTCCTCCATTGACTCAGCCGCAGTATCAGGCCCCTCAGCAGCCGCCCCAAAATCGCTGGGTGGCTCCTCGCAACAGAAACGCAGCTTTTGGCCAAAGCGGAGGAACTGGTACCGACAGCAGCTCAGCTGGCAGCACCCAGCCCAACCCCGTCCCCAGCGGAGAGTCCCATCCCGTCCTGGAAAAACTGAAAGCTGCTCACAGCTATAACCCTAAAGATTTCGAGTGGAACCTTAAAAATGGACGTGTGTTCATAATAAAGAGCTATTCTGAGGATGATATTCATCGTTCCATTAAGTATTCTATTTGGTGTAGTACGGAACACGGCAACAAACGCCTGGACAGCGCTTTTCGCTCCATGAACAGCAAGGGTCCCGTCTACTTGCTGTTCAGTGTCAATGGCAGTGGACACTTCTGTGGAGTAGCAGAGATGAAATCACCTGTGGACTACGGCACCAGTGCGGGTGTCTGGTCTCAGGACAAGTGGAAGGGGAAATTTGACGTCAAGTGGATCTTTGTGAAGGATGTGCCCAACAACCAACTGCGACACATCAGGCTGGAGAACAATGACAACAAACCCGTTACAAACTCCCGTGATACACAGGAGGTGCCCTTAGAAAAAGCAAAACAAGTGCTTAAAATTATTGCAACTTACAAGCACACGACCTCCATCTTTGATGACTTTTCTCATTATGAAAAGCGCCAGGAAGAGGAGGAGGTGGTGCGGAAGGTAAACTTATTAAAAAATTTATTTTATACACAGATATGGGGAAAATGAAATGTGAAGGCTGCTATGGTGGAAAAATGTAAGTAGGAATTTGAAATGTCTTTAATATGTCTCGATGGTTTCGTGTGTGTTTAACAACACAAAAAAAAAAAAAAAAACCTGATGCAAATCTGTCTGTGAAAAGTTTCATAGCTAATGAGTTTCAAAGCAGAAACCTAAGCAGTAATGCAGGTAAAGGACTTTATGTCCTGTTTATTGGAGTTTGATTTATTTTTTTATCTTAAAATGGTTAATAAACTAGAAAATAGTTTCTGTTGCAGAATTGGATTCTGCCAGTGATTGCCACTTAAGTTTTTTGCCTTAACTATGAGGTGTTTTAACACTGTTTGACTGGAACTGGGATATCAGAATTGATACCTGTACTGGTATTTGAAATGTGTACATCACCTTTAAAAGCAAGAAACCTGATTTTGTTTGTTCAGTTGATCTCTCTGGAAAAGAAAGAGTTGCATAAAATTGCTGGAATAGTGCTAGAAAGATTGCATTTCTGCTGCTGAAGTCACATGTATTATTTGGATAAATAAAGGTTTTCAGTTCCCAGGTTTAATCTGTCTACTAATTCTTGAAGTTTTGAGTGAAGCCTTAGTAAGAGAAGTTTGGGCAGTAACTGGGAGAGTGTAGTAAAACTTTCCATACACTTTCATGGCTGAAAGTCTACCGCGAGAAACCTCTGTCCCTCTCCATCCCATGACCTCAGCTTCAAGAATGCCTTTCTCTAATTAGGCACTCTAGAAGTAATGGCCTGACAAAATAATAGGTGTTGGGATGTGTAGTTACTCCCTAAGTAACACTTAAATTTGCTTGATGTTGATAGTGTTTCACAGACCTTTTTTGTATAGCACTGCAGATACAGCATTTGTTTGACAGGTTTAGTTTAGTGCAGTTTACACTTGCTTCAAGATGTTTTTAAAGCAAGGACTTAATGCATGTTCCTGCAGCTTAAATTTTAAGATTACCATTTTAAACTTTATTGCCCTTTAAAATTGCTTTCAACTGTCTTCATATAATGTACCTTTAAAGTATGAGAGAAAATCAGTTCAGCATCTTAAAAACTTTTTAGCTGAACTTTTTCCTGGCTGTGATGGATGTGCATCGCTGACCTCAGCACAGCAGGGAAGGAGAGCTTAAAACGGGAAGTTTTTCTTGTGTACTCCCCGTGGGGTTTCACAAGGTAAAACCAAAAAGCCTTTACTTGAACACCTCATTCCTTCAGTAGACAATCAGCAATTCAGTATTTAATGCAACCTGTGTCTTGGAGAGGTTCACTTACACAGGAGAGAGTCTTGACTAAAGGAGGTGGGCTGGGCTCCTCTGTGCAGTGTTTATGGTGTAGAGGGGTGTGATTGGTTTGGGTTTTAATGCTGAGTCTCCCTGTGATTTGCTGCCAAGTCTGGAGGGGAGAAGCTGTGTATGTTTAAGGAGTGAGAGATCTGCCCTTGCACAGATAACTTACTGGCCTGAGGAAGATCCTGATGGTGGCATGCTGAGCACTGAAATTCCTTGACTGTGTAGTAGCTCAGAGGCCTGATCCCATTTAGGGTTTGTTTAATAAACACAGCTAATTCCCACTTTCAGTTCTAATGCTGAAACAATTTCTTACCAAGCCACTTCTTGCTATACAACAAGATCATTTTCTCAAAATAATCCATTTTTCTTCCTCATTTAAAACCGAGGCTCTAGCTTGTATGACACAGTCACAAAATAAACTATGAAGTCTTAATTTAATATTTCTTAGATACCTCCAAATAGCTTAAAAAATGAGACAGCAAAGTACAGCGAGGAAGGTAAGAGTGCTAGAGAGGGAAAGCAGATCAGCAGGGAGGGAATGAAAAACTTAAGATGCTGCTTTTCAGGTTGCATTCTCTAAAACTGTTGTCTGGAAAGTCAGTATTTTTCCCCTTCATTGACTAAATGAATTTTAGAAGTCCAGCTGATTACTAGAAGAGTTTTTTTGCAGGATATACACACACTCTTTAAGTCCTTATCATTGAGAAGTTTGTGCTATTGAATGTAAAGCCTTGCTGTTAAACAAAGTTAACGTTCCTATCACAGTAATTTTTGAACAATCTTATTGCAGTTAAGGTGTCTTATGACCTAATTGACATTTTCAGATGGTTGGTTGTATATGTGCCATCTTAATTGATTCTCAGATTACTAGTTTTATTCATTATACTCTGTTTAACTGTAAAATTAATTACTTGTTGAAATTTTGTGCCTCTGTTTCCCCACTGTCATGATTACGAAGGGCAAGAATTCTTAAAAGTCTGCACAGGGAGCACTTGAATGCTACAATGTCAGTTATACAAAATATTTTATAGGGAACAATAACGTAATCAGTGCAGTGCACTGGCGTTTCAGTTCTGTAGATGGTTCCAGTGTGTTGCTAACCAGCATTTCCATAGCTGATGTCCAGAGCCAGCCCCAGTGTGTGTGAATTTACCTGAGCAGGAACCTCTGTGTTAGTGCCCAGTCAGCAAATGAGGGTTTGGCAGGGGCAGTGCCGGATGAAATTCATTAAAGTGCCAAAGATCCATCACCAGTACCAGTATTGCGGCATCTGGAACTGAGGGGAGATTTGTTCGTGCTGGGATGTAAGTCCAGCTTTTGATTTGCCATAGGAATAAAATATTTAAGCCCAGTCTGTTGACCCAGAACCTGGGAGAGGAGTAATAGAAAGATATCGGGATCTGGAATGAAATAGCAAAACAGTGAGCGGCCTGAAATCTCTCCTGACCCTCCCTGCCCTTTTCAGTCAGTTCCAGGGCTGTTACATTGTCCACAAAGAGCAACTTCCATGATTAAACTCATGCTCTGAAAATGTAAAAGAGTTGTGACATAGAGAGCTTCTTCAATAGAAATACAGTATAATGTGTTAATTGTTAACAGTCCCTAAAAACGTGCTTGCACACTCTTAACAAAGTTAAGTCTGTCTTGCAAAGTTAAAAGGCTTGTAAAGGCAATAAACTTCTTGTAGGTTTTGGTATTTTTATTTACATCTCATGGTAGGGCAGGTGACAGATCAGCTGTCAGCAGCTGGTCCTCACAGGTCTGTACCTAAGCACGTGGTCACAGTTCTGTACTGGGCTGCACTGCTGTCACCTCAGATCTGGGTCAAGGCACTCAGCTGTTCCAAGGTCTGCTCCTTGGTGTTGTGTTGGAAGAGCTGCACAGCCTCAGAAAGCTCCTGAATCACCAAGATTACCAGTTCTGCTTTAGGTGGTTAAATACTGAAAAGTGTTGGCTGGTCCACATTGGCAATTGGAAATACTCACTTTCTTCTAGCACTGTGATCCCTCTCAGTGAGCTTTCTGTGAACACACTCATTGACACAGAACTTTTAAGGATGGAATATTGTCCTTCCTCCAAAGCTCTAGCTAAAAAACATTTATATTATAAGATTAATACTCTGTTCCTAATATAAAGAAAACATCTGTATGTTTGTGTCTGAAGATGAACACTTTGATCCTATTGACTTTGACTAAGTTTAGTAGGAAGGGTGAAGATATTTTAGACTGAGGTGAAGAGAACAGAAGTTTGACAGGATTGAGTGTCTCCAAGATGGAAACTCCTGCAAGTTTTGTGAAAACCCATTTTCCCTGTGTCTGAAGATCATATACATTAGTGTCCCGAAGGAGAAATGCAACAGGAGCTCTCCTGTGAGATACCAGAGAACTCCACTGGAGAAGAGAAACTGTGAAGGCTCCGGATCTTCAGAACCAAAATGAGCAAAGCTTTGGTAGTTGCTCACAAAACTGTTTGTTCTTGCTTGCAGTAAGTGCTTAAATAGCAGTAAGGAAGAGAATTTGAGAGGTAGAGCTTCTAAAAAGCAGCCATGCTCAAGAGCACGAAGAATTGTTGCGTCAGTTTATGTGGTTTCAGACAATTGTAAAGAGGAAGACTCAGATTAGCCCCCAAGAGAGAAAGCAAAGCAGCAAGGTAGGAGGAACTGCTTGAGAACTTGCTCAGTAAATAGCACTTTTTACTTTAATTATAAAGCCTGAGCTGAGTGTCTGAATGCCATGAGCATACTTTTAGGTACCAGGTAGAAGTCTCAGGTTTATGTGGGACTAGTCCATAAGAATGGAAACCTTTAATTTTTAAAGCAAGTCGAATTATGAGGGTCAGTGGATGACTACACAGAAAACTATAAACAGAAGTTACATAAGGTGTCAGTGGGAAAGGATGGGCTCCTGAGCATGGCAGGGCAGGAGAGTTAAAGGGGATGTGCCACCTTAGAAATGGAAGTAGGATGGAACAATTACTTTTTTTTGAAGCCTGAAAGTGAGCTGATATGATTCAGTCTAGATTCTTTCTAACTACCTTTTGTTTGAAATGTCAGGCAGACATAAGCTCCTTTTATTAAGAACATTCAACACGTTCTGATGCTTTGCCACTAAGAAATGTCTTTCATTGACAGTTCATCATAGTCAGCAGTTAAAAGACAGGAGGAATATAGATTTTTAAAATTAATTCTACCACTTTACACAGTCTGTTCTGTTGATTGGGTAAAACAGTTTTGCTGTTTCTTACTTCTGTCTTAAATCATAGATTAAGAATTCATACTGGTCCTTGTTGATTTAATTTTATTATGAATATTGAAACATTAATATTCTGCCTGGAGGCAGAAATCAATATATTCCCTTTTTTAAAAATCTCTTCTGATTTTTATGCTGTGGCCAGCTGAAGCAGCAAATGCAGTCTGTTACATTTATGTTTGGCATATTTTCAAGTAAGTTTTATATCGCAACAGAAACAATTCTGAGAGGAATTTTATACAGAAAGATTCCACAAAACAAGGCGTTAGTTTAGGAGTTGGCTGTTGTTGCTGCTTGGGCTGGTTCACAATTTTCTGGCTTGAGATAGGACTTGGTGCCATACTGATGCATTTGCAGAGCTGTGTACAGTCTGTTGGAAACAGCGTTGGGGTGGAGTGGGAAAGGGGAGAGCCAGGCCCTTTCTGTTCAGTCTACCTGAGATGGTCCCTGAGCTTGAGAATGCACAGGACTAAAGGAAACAGCAGCCTGGTTTTGTCTTGCTGTCTGCAGCATCTTCTGCAGCTTGTGGGGCTCCTGAAACAGTGAACAAGTGCCCCCTGGTTTTGTTCAGGCACTCTCGGTGTGTCTTTGTAATCCTTGTGCAGACACTGCTCCAAAGGCCTCCCTGTTTGCTGCTGGGAGAGCACAGACTCACTTAGCTGAAGATTAATCTGCAGGTGCTGTTTCCTTTAGATGGCCTTTATCTGTTTTCAGGATTTGTGATTGGCAGAACCTTTTGAGAGAGGCTCAGAGATCTTCCCAGCTGCTGTACTGGAATGGTTTGGGACACTCTTGGGTGGTTCAGTCCAGCCGTGATGGGTTTTATCAGACCGTGCAAAAGCACATAACTTGTCTTCTACCTGATATATTTTTTCCCCAGACTTCTCAAGTATTTCCCAGTGCCTCCCAGAATAGTTGAGCAGCTAGGAAGAATTAGAATTTCTAGACAGCTGAAATCCCTGCTTTCACTGAGTGTGACTAAACTCCAAAGTCATTTGAGTGCTTCAAAATTATCCCGGTTCTGTGGAGTTCACTAATCTGCCATCTGCTTTCTGCTCATGTATTGGTTGTGCTACTACTGCAGTAGCTAAAATAATCCAGAAAGTAGAATATTGCAGATTCTTTTTCTCTTCAGGAGTGTTGATATTTCATATCCTTCTCTCAGTGACATTCATCTGCTGTTGGTTTGAAGTGGCTGTGCAGGTATTCATTCATATGTTCCACTTGAGGCTGCACTAAACATTAAGTTATCAAGTCCTTGGGCTTGTTGGGTATAAACAATATATTTATAAAATGTAGCAGCGTTGTTTTAAGTGTATAATTTTCTGGGATCACCTTAGTGCTGTTAAAACTACTAAAAACTTTTTGCTTGTTCATTTGACTAAAATCTTAACTTTTTTCTCTTTGCAGGAACGTCAGAATCGAAACAAACAATAAGAATAAACATATACAGTTTGATATATATACTAGAACTGATATTAAATTCGACTATGAGAAACAAAATTAAGTATAACTGGTGCTGTATCCTGGCATCAGGACAAACTAAAGCTTTCAGCTCCAATATATCTTCTCGTGCAGGGGAAATTAAGTTGTCACATCTTTAAGTACATTGTAGTTTATTTTTGCCCAAATGGATCTGCATTAATTTGTATCTTTTTTTTTCTATGTAAAATTCTGTAGAAATCATTAATAAAGGTGTGTCTGTTTTTATTTTTTTAAGTTGATAAACAGTTATATTAACCTAATGTGGACCTATACATGAGCATACTAAAGTGTCAGTGCTTCCCAAAGACTTTATTTTGGCACAAATTATGTTCCTAGCCAGATATAGAGATTATGGAAAATACATGACAAATCTTCCTTTATCCTCCTCCCAAACCCTTTTCTTCATGGCAGAAGTAAGAAACCATGCATTGATTTTATTTTTTTTTTGTCATTTGAAAAACCTCTAAAGATACTGCACTTCAGAATTTTGAAATGGAAAAAAAAAAAAAAACTAACCTAAATTTCTGATCACTTTGTGCAGCTGCTCTGCCTCTTTATTTATCTGTACAATTACACTTTTAAAACTGCTGATGCGCCATGTTGGTTTTTTCTGTCTAGTAGGAAATCAAATTGTCAGTGAAATTGTTTCTCTGGAAAAATATTTCCCTTTCACATTCTGTTAACCAGTGCTTCAGTGTGCATCTGTTATTCCATATCCTGCCGAGGGTGAGCGAGATGCTTTCTCTCAGCCATAATTCTGCTTTACGGTTTTTGTAGCTTAATTAAATAATAATGTGATGCTATCGACATTGCAGGGGTTTTAAACAATGTGTTTAAACCTGTTTCAGCTTTCAGGTGTTATTAGTTAACTTGCAGATCATTTTTAATCCTTCCCTTCATTACTCCCTCCCACCCCCCCCCCCAAATCCTAATGCCATTTAAAGTTTTTATACCAATAATGCTGAGCTTTAACGTAGGAACTAATAGTACGGATAATATGATGGATTATGCCTCAGATGTTTAAAATTGACAGTGTGTATGTCTAATTTTTTTTTTTTTTTCTGTTGGATGAGTAAAAAAACCTGTTTTAAGAAAATGAATTTGCTGTCATGTTTTTGTGGAGTGAGGGGACCGTCGGAGAACCTGTCACCAACTGGAGTTCCAATTAAGCATGGAAATGGTGCTCATGTCCGCTGCTCTAGCACACTGAATCTGCACGTGTTTATTGTAGAGGATCTTTTACTATATTAGAAAGCAAGTATCTTCTGAATACTATTTACTCCAAAAGGACCTCCAATTTAAATAAAGTTTAATCTGTATCATTTAGACTTGTATTTAGAACGTATAACTCTTGTCTCTGGACTGTTACTGCCTGTAAGGGGTAATGGACAGCATCAGATTAACTTTTTCCTCTAGGAGAATACAAGCCTTAATAAACAATACATATTTAGCAAGCTTTGATGTCATTTTCATTTTTTTCCCTGCTTTCAGTTGTCTTCCTCTGTTCCAATCACCCTTTATGCTGACTGGTGAGTTATGTATAACCTGAGAAGTGGTTTGATGGTGCACAACTCAGGTGTTTGCTCTCAGCTCACCTGATGGTTTCAGAAGGGTTTTGCAGGACTGTAGGGAACATTTAACTGCTTTGCCTGTTCCTGTTCCTCCAAGGAACTGTGTGCGTGTCCAGTGGCTGTCACTTGTGCTTCCCTTTCTCCTTGTATGGTAGAGAAGCTGAAGAAAGGATTGGAAGTTGTCCTGCAGCCTTCAGGAGGCAGCAGCACAGCCACGGGGTCACCAGGGTGAGAAAAGAACTTCTCAAATCCAAGTAAAGCTCTGACCAGTATCTTTTCCAGCAGTTGGCTGCATTTGCCAGCTCTAACTTTAGTAATTTGGCTTGATATCTTTTTTTAACTGACTTATTGAAGCAATACTGCATTTTATAAACATGTTGCCATCTAATAAAAGCACCTGCTGTTAGTTTCAGCTATTGTGTCAGAACACTTACACTGGTGATTCCAGAGCCAAAAAGAACTTGGCTCTATCTGGACCCTGAAGAGGAAAGTTAGTTGCACAACTTTATTGGTTTTTTTTTTTTTTTTCAGATCAAAAGAATCTCTGCAGTGATATACCCATAGACTTCAGATAATACTAAAAAGAAAAAAAAAAACCAAACAGAAAAAAATACAACAAACTGGGAGCCTTTAGCTGAAACTGGTTTGACTGTATTAAAGGAAGCAGAAAGTTTCAGCTGTCAGGCTTTGTGGGTAACAAAAAACATTTATAACAGCTTCAGCATGCAGGGATTCCTGCCTGATGCCGCGGTGTGGTACAGCACTATCTGATTTAAGTGGGAGACGATTTAACAGTGGGTAAAATAATCCCTTTCGTTACGACCACGTTGGGTGCTCAGATAACCGAACTGGCTGCTGGTCCTTCTGATTTTCAATCCCCTGCCGTTGCAATTTCAAGAGATGACTCGCTTCTTTTTTTTTTTTGGGTGGCAGTGTTCAAATTACACTGTGAGGGGGAAGAAGCATTCTTCCAGTGTCTCTTTTGGAATACTTCATGTCACAGATCTTGCTTATTCTTTATTTAGTCCAAGTAAGAGTTCTAAAGGAACGTGCCTGCATGGTTTTGGAATTGTGCGTAAATTCGCTCCTTAAATGACTTGCTTGATGTTTTTAGAGTTTGGGTGTGACAGTAGCACTGCTGCCTTCCACTTCTAAGCCAAATGGAGCTGGTAGCACCAAATGCTGGTTACAGAGTTAAATGAAATTGTTTGTCTAGTTCACTTGCTGGTTGGTGATGGCAGCACATTGCACTGCTCTGAGCCTGTGAACTTAAATTGCTGGGGGAAATTTGCAGGTAGTGACACCAAAAGTAATAGTGCTAAATAACTCACCTTTATGGAGATTGTGTGTGTTGCTGTGAATGATGGTTTTAAGTGACTTAAGCCTGCAGAAAAGATGATCAAAGTAAAGCTACCCTGAGATATTAGGGCAGGAACAGGGAGACAAAAATAAGTTCTTATTCAAGATTACTTCTCTACCATAACACATCATAAGGCCAGACTTTGGTGTTTGTTTTTTTTACCTCACTCATTCTTGGGAGATGGAAATGGGGAATTTAAAGTTTAAAATTCTGCTTTTTCACTCTTCACCCTTTACAATACTAGAAAAATACAGATACTAAAAGATATGAGTGTTTCTTCACAAAATACTTTATTTTCCTTTGGAGAACTGCAAGGTATTAATTTACTCAAAGATGTTAGTGAGATCTCAGTGAAGAAGAGAGTGGTATTTATTGGCGTTCGACTGACCAAGGTGCACTAGAGAGCATGGGCAGGTTGTGACAGTGTGTCTTTGCTTTCTGTCTTTAATAATGAGGGGGTTTATTTGGCCAGAGAAGATGGAAATTCCAGTAAATGTGGCCATTGAAAAACTTGTAGGCAGAGATAGCACAAAACTATCAAAAGAAAAACAATTGTTGTAGTGCTACTGCTCTTTTCTTGTGCACTTACTGAGAAAAGTAACTGAGGAGCAAGGGAAGCTTAGTTAAAATAGCAGATAAATGCAAAAATGAAGCACAAACAGTATCTAATGGGGGGAAGTGTGTTTTGATCTAATGCTCCTTTTTTTGGGCTCTCAGCTACTTTGAATTCTCTATGTTGAACAATCTGTTTCCTTTGGAAAAAGCTCTGGCTTTCTCTGACAACACTGCTCAGCATCTGCTCATTTCAGGAGAAAGCTGTTCACTATTTCTGGGAAAGTGCAGGTTTTTAATTGGAATTTGTGATCCTGCCCAAGAACAGTGCGAGCGTGGCTGGGGCTGTTTCTGTGATCCCTGCCTTGTCCACAGCTCCTTTGAGAAGGAACAGCTCTTGTTTAGCCTATTTTTAGAATTAAGAGAGTTGAGTCAGAATGTTGAAATGACTTAATTGGGGTGTGACTTGGCAGAGGGAGATTTTGGATTTCACGAGGAACGTGGTTCAGTCCAATGGGCTGTTTCATAGGTGACATCATCCTGAGCACAACTTCCAGTTCACATGTACTGGTGCTTTGTCCCAAGGTAAGGGTGAAGGGGATTGTCCTGGGCATGAATGTTACTGACTTTGCAGCTTTCCTGTCTTTGGAAAGCTTATGTTGAAAAAAAAAAAAAAAAAAAAAAAAAAAAAAAAAAAAAAAAAAAAAAAAAAAAAAAAAAAAAAAAAAAAAAAAAAAAAAAAAAAAAAAAAAAAAAAAAAAAAAAAAAAAAGAAGAAGAAGCAGCTTTCAAATTGCATATTGCTGATGCAGTGATGTGTGTTGCATGTGCAGTGTGAGGGCAGTCTGTGAAGTTTCTCATTTCCTTGTCAGAGGACAAGCAGGGCAGGGCTTCATTGATTCCAAGAAAAGCTTTTGTTCCCTGTTATGGTACAGGATTAATTTCCTTATTTTATATAGGGTCATCATTTTATTTTCTCTTGGGAAAGCCTACACACCAGTGCTGACTTGACTTGTGTCCCATCATTTCACTTCCTGTGATGTCCCTGATCTCCCTCTTATTCATGTTCTGAGGTGAGTTACTGCCAGCACAAGCAAGACCTTGGAGATGTGCCTTCTTCAACATGCAGGACTTCACAGAACTGGCATCAACACTGTCTTTGACTGTCTTTTACTGAATCTCCTTCAATTTGGAGAGCGTAGGAGGTTTTATGCCATCTGTCTGTTTATAAGTTATTCAGGAAATTATTTTTACCTGGGATGTTACCATGACAACAGACAGTCAGTAAAGTCTTCACCAAATGCATTTCTAATGTCCAACTGCTGCTAAATCAGTAGGTTCTGGTGTTTTTCTGTGGTTTCAGTAATGAAGACAGTGGGAAAGAGGTGTAAATACTTGTTTTACCAAATATACATTCTCCAGGTATTTTTAGATTATTAATGCATTGCCTTGGGCAGCAATACATACTGCAAGCAACCTCCTTGTTTATTTTTCCCCCTCACCATCTGTGGGGTGAGAATAGGAAAAAAGTAAATTTTTTATCACTAAATGATACATCAATTTATATAGGGAGCTTTTTTCATCATTTATGTCTGCTTTGATTTCTGCGCCCTGCTCTGTGGGTCTGCAAATTATGACTTGAGCAAGTTGATTATTGGTAACATTTAACTCTCTAGGACAGCTCTGCACCTCCCTGGAAGTTAGGGATCTGCAAACCCTCCTGAAAAGTCAGAAATCACTGATGTCGTGGGACGTGTTCCTGCTGCTCTTGGTTCTCTGTAACGACGTGTTTCAGCTCAAAGCACTTTGGTGGCAGAGAAACTGAACGTTGGGATTCTTGCAGCTGAAAACACTTTTAGTATTTAGTGGAATTCCAGTGAAACCTTGAGGGGGTGGGAGTCCTTAGGCTAAAGAAGCAACGAATCAGATTATTGTCTACACCTGGATGGCAAGTCATTGTCTAATTAATGACTGTGTAGTGAGCCCAGACTTGCCAAGTTTGAAGTTTTGAGTGGTTTCTTCTTCACCCTCTTTGGGGTGAAACTTTTGGATAATCGGCACATTCGGGAAAGAGTGGGGTTTGGAAGGTCTGGGGATTTACGGAGATTCTTTGGCTTCCTCACTCTGTTGGTGAGCATGAATTTTTTTTTTTTTTCTGATATAAATCTATTTCGTAGAAGTTTGTAAAATTTGTAGAATGTTGATTTCTGGGACAGTATTAGATTCTGAGATACCAAAGCAGGTTTTCTGCCTTAAGCCACTGGCAAGTTGTGTGAATTTTTGTCATATTTTACCCTTTTCGGTCCCCATGCTGCAAAACTTTAGGATCAGCCTTTAAATCAAAATTCTAAATTGTGAGTGTACTGAAACAACTGTTGGCAGCACTCGGGTGGTCAGACACTTAATCACACCAGATTCAGTGTTGTTGTGCCTTGGTTTTTATATGTAGTACCTGCTTAACTAAGCTGGATATTTCACAGTGTTCAGGGACTTACGCTTTCCTCACTAATGCCAGATCAGCCAACAGAGATTTGGAACAAAAGAACCAATTAAGGAGGTGTAGCCGTGCCTTGTATCACTCTGGAGTGCAGCATTTTAAAAGTGAGGGCGAGGGAGGCTGTGTCTCCTCTAGCTTTATGTATTTGACCTCTGTAAAACAGAAATCACAACTAAAACATTATAACTGCAATAACTCTTTGTTAGCTGTGACAAGGAAGGAGAATTCCTGGTTTTAACTTGTTAGTCTGGTAAAGGAACAATCTTTCCCTGCGCCTTGGCTGCGTGCTTGGGTCGCTGATCTTGACAGCTCGTTCCTTCAGCAGCAGCAGCAAGGTTAGAAGGATGGAAGGGGGGTGGGTTTTTTTTGGTCCAAAAGCTTTGTCTTTCTCGAAATGCCACTTCAGGACTGGGGAGCGATGGGCAGTAAGTCGGGAGAGGAAACAAAAAGCAATTTTTATCAGCTGGGAGTAAAG